CTCCAGCAGTAGAGCTCCTGCTTTGCAAGTGCAAAGCCATGGATTTGAACCCCAGTCCCACACATAAACACACAAATAGTCATTTTATCTCAATCCAGACAGGAGCATCAATCCTTTATTGAGGCCAGTCTGAACCCAGCCAGGCTGTTGCCCTCAGCATGTAAGATAACCCTTGTACTTCTCCCGTAAGGGATGTAGCACCACCTCCTATAAATGTAGCAGAGCTAAAAAGGAGCAAAATAGAAGACAGGCAAATTATATCCGTTTCCATTGGAAACTAATTTATCTATAGCATATAATATATATGATCATTATATATAAACTAGTTTTACTTATACAGTTTAGCAATTCATTTATTTTGCAATCTGTACAACTAAGAAAATTCCTGTCTCACCAAAGTAAGCAAGATAAGAGTCCACATATACACTTCAATGGTTTTCCTGTTGTGTTGGGATGTCATTGTGGGATAACATTATGCCTTGATTTATCTCTAAGTCAACTCTGATTTATTGATGGTTTACTCCTCTCTTAAAAGTGTTCTATAGAAGATAGGAGAGGAAAAGCAAAACATTACAGAGTAGGTAATAAAAATATTTCACTGCAACAAAGATTTATAAAGTCCTATATTTACTTAATAACTTCAAGTCTTTTATCCATTCTCTTAGTTCTGTGCCCACTAACAGTAACTATTTTTAATGTCAGCATGTGGAAAAACTTCAGAAACTGGTTACTTCTTATTCTTCTTCACATTTACAAACATTTCATTTACAAGGTTGTGCCTGTTTTCTGATGCTTAAACAAAGACTTTTTAAGATGTAATATAATACTTGCAAGCATCCACTAGAAACAAAAATGATAACCACATTCTTCTTTTACCTTTTTAATTCTGAAAGTTAGAGTTTATGCAGAAGTGGGGATTTCCAGGGCGAGGTGCACATGGTCCTTAAATCCCTCTCAGTATAAACCCACAGCTTCTGTACATGCACACTACACTTTGCTTCTTCCCAGTGCAAATAAGAAAACTTGTTGTCAACTCACTTTTTAAAATTGGGAACATTTAACTTGAAAACAATAACACTGGCTACTTTAAAACATATTTACATATTTATTTATATAAGCAAAATGTCATTGTGCATGTGTTTATAAATGTGGGTCTTTAAATCACAAATAAAAATTTTTTTGGTGGTACTACAGTTTGAACTCAGGGCCTCACGTTTGCTAGGCAGGTGCTCTACCATTTGAGCCACTCACCAGCCCAATCACAAATAACATTTAAAATAGTTCTTATAAATGAAGAAGTCACCTTAACTATAACTGTGTGCATGCTTTAGTTAACATAGAAAAGTGTTATTAGAGATAACTTACTCCATGTTTCTCTTGAGAAAGAGGACATCTTCAAACCCATTTTTACAGATTTTATTAATAAATGATATTCTTCACTAATATGTATAAAGTACTTGAGTTATTTGGTAGTTCTATAAAGGCAGAACTTAAAAAACAAATGGTAGCTGTAATGTGTTAACATGGCCTTTGACTGTTCAAAAGTGCTTCCCAAAGCAGCACACTCACCTCTGGGGCTTTCCAAGCAGAAGTTTTAAATCCCCTGATCTTTGAAAATAGAAGAGGGTAATGATAGAAACACGCCAGGAGTAAGCCTTGGTATTTCTCTCAAAGTGCCATGGTGAAAGTACCTTCTCTCACGAGTCAGTTCCCTTTAGCAAAATCAATCCCATCCAGCTTTGCTTTTTTTCCTTTATCTTTTTCTTTGGGGGTGTCTGGAGGGGGTGAGCGGTAATAGGAGCTGAACTCAGGGCCTCAGGCTTGTTATTGCTTGAGTCACACCACCAGCTGTTTTGGGGTTGGTTACTTCTGAGATAAGATCTCACTTTTTGCCTGGGATGGCCCACCGGGACCCCATGCTCTGTTTGTGCTTCCCGGTGTAGCTAGGATGGCAGGCACACACATGCCTGGCCATTGGTTGAGATGGGGTCCAGTGAACTTTCGCCCATGCTGGCTTCAGAGAATCTCCCCATCTCCACCTCCCAACTAACTAGGATTACAGGTGTGAGACACTGTACCTGACCTGATCTGGCTTTTCTAATTAGTTTTTGCTCTTTCCAGAAAGCCTGATTCAAGATCACATCAGCCAGATAACTCAACATTATTTCATACAGACTTGTGACCACTCCCATATTTTCTTAGAGTTTTAACACCTACTTACCAAGTTTACACTAATGTCAGTTAAAAATGCAAATGTATTTTTTCCTCAGTGTAAATACAGATGGTTTCTGACTTTTCAACTTTACCATAGTGCACAAGTGATAGATAGCATTCAATAGGAGTCAAACTTAGAATTTTGAATTCTGATGTAGAAATGCATAATACAAGCTTCTCTCATAATGCTGGGAGGTGGCACTGAGCTACTTCAGCCATCGTATCAAAAGGGATTAACGATCAGTTCTCTACCATGTACTGTGTTGGCAGGCGATGGCATTTGGTAGGCTAGGGTATTAAATTTTGATTTGAGATATTTTCAATTTAAGGTGAGTTTATCTTGATGTAATCACATTGCTTGCAATTAAAAATATCAGAAACAAAGTTAGTACTTTTTCCTTTCTCATCTGCAACTCACCTGATGCTAAAAATTCAGTGCTTAGTGAGGCAGGACTCACACTCCAACATCAAGCAGGCAGGATCTGAATGCCAGCTCTGCAGTTTATTGGTAATTGATCACAGACAAGTCTTTAACTTCTTTGTGCCTCTGTCTTCCTCATCTGTAAAGCAAGAGTAATAATGACATTTCTCGCAAGGCTGTTGTAATGACTAAATGTGACTCTGAAGTGTGAGCATGCTATTAGTGTTTGCTTCTATTATTCTTTGCAGAAACTTCCTTTGCTTAGCCAAATAAAATATTTATGATTGTCGTTTACAAACATGGAATAATATTGCTCTATAACTTATTTCTCTTAACCTCTTTCCAAAACTACATAGTTTTCTTTACTAGTTACATTGCATTTTAAGCTAGGATGGCATGTAATTAATTACTTTCAGCCCTTTCCTCTTTTAACAGACAATTGCATTCTTTTCTTTTCATGGGTTTATAAACTGCTACAGCAAACGTCTTTGTGCCTGCCTTTTTTGATATTAACACATTAAATTCCAAGATACAGAATTGCTTCACCTAAGGATATTTGCATTTTAAATTTTTTAATGTCAATGCTTCCAGACTACTTTCCAAAAAACAAAAAGGAACTGTGGGCAGTGTACCAACCAGGCTGCAAAACAGGGAGTTAAAAAGCGAGGCCTGTGGTCATATTGGTGCACACCTGTAGTTCCAGCACTCATGAGGCTGAAGCAGGAATATCACGAGTTTGGGGCCAGCCTGAGCTACATTCAAGTTCCAGGCCAGACCAGCCTAAGCTACATAATGAGATCCTCTCTCGCTTTCTCTCTCTCTCTCTCTCTAAAAAAAAAAAAACCAAAAAACCACATGCACACAGGTAAGTAACATGTGACTACAAGAGCACAAAGGTAGGGAGTGGGAAACGGAAGTACATTGTTGTAAGGTTCTTACATATAAAGTGCAGATTTCCTTCTGAAGATAGACTGTGATAAGTTATAGACGCATATTGTGAATCCAGAGCTACCACTAAGAAAAAAAGAAGATGGAGGTGTATAAGATAGACTAACAGAGGAAAGAAAATCAATGGAATTTTTAAACATCCAAAAGAAGGTGGGGAAAAAAAGAACAAATAGAAAAAAAGCAAGATGGTAGACCTCAATTTCACCACATATAGTCATATGAACTGTGAATGGTCTAAATGCTCCGTAGAAAGGCAGAGATTTTAAAACTGGATAAAATAAAAGACCCAATTACATGTTGTCACTTTAGACAGACATAAATTTAAAAGACAGAACCAGATATGCCATGTAAACGGTATTCACAAGAAAGGTGACGTGGCTATGAAACTAATAACAAAGTAGACTTCGGAACCCGAAATTTCACCTCGAAATCAGAGGGTCAACTCATCAAGAATACATGATGCTAAATTCGAATGCTCTAATCAGCTTCCAAAGCATGACAAATGTGACAGAACTGAAAGGAAAAATAGACAAGTGCAGTCAGTCATTACTGAATTTCCCACAGTTCTCTCAAAACAAGTAGACGAAGTCACCACGTGCCATGTGCTGGGACTAAAGCAAGGCAAGGGGTCAGTTCTGACCTGCATTCAAAGCAGGACGTTTCTATTGGCGTGGGACAAGCCTCTCCCTGCAAAGTCAGCTCCCCAGAGAAAGGGAGTGCCTGCTTAGCCAACACGGACCGAGGATGGGAGGGAGCGAGTGATGACAGGCGACGTCTAGCCAGCTGTGTATCAGAAAAGGGACAACCTGGAGGCTGGGGCGGAGGGACCGGAACGCTTGGCGGGGTCGGGAAGGAGAGGAGTGAGGGGCGCAGACGAGAGGCCAGAGGAAGGGGCTGCTGCACCGAGGCCCGGGGTTTGACGAGGCCGTACATGGCGCCGATCCTTTAAGTGCAGTCAAACAAATCTGCATCACGGGTCCTCGTCTCGTTCCTCTCGGTGGCGGTGCACCCACCTTCGAAAGGCCAGGCCTGGAAGGGCGGAGAGCAGGCGGCCTGCAAGGCCGGGGGTGCAGGAAGCAGGTGAAGGTGAAGGACAAACAAGGAGAGCAGCCGGGCCAACCTGGAGGGTAGGACCCTCGCGCGCCCCCTGCCACCGAGCTCGTCCAGGGGCTGCGGGCGGCGACCAGCGGAGTGTCACCGGGCGCCCCGCCCCGCCGGGAGGTGCGCGCCGCGGCTTGCGCTCGGGCTGCACCTGGCGCGCGCGGCCCCAGGGGGGCGCTGTGCCGACGGCGGCGCAGGGCAGGTGCCGGGCGGGGCCGCTCGCCGGGGGCGGGACGACCCGGGCGGAGGGCGGCGGCGGCGGCGGTGGCGGCGGCGGCGGCAGTGGCCACAGGGGCCGCAGAGGCCGCGGCGCCCAGCCCGCCTGCACCGCGCCATGGCCCCGCGCGCCCGGCGCTGTGGCCCGCTGCCCGCGCTACTGGCGCTCGGCGCGCTGCTCGCCCGGCTGCAGGTAAGGAGCCGCGCCCCGCGTCCCGCACCCCGCACCCCGGCTGGGTCCCTCGGAAGCTACAGCCAAGGCTGTGGGGGGCGGAGATGGTGGAAACCTGGGGTTTCCTGGCGGTGACCCGAGATGGACTGTGGAGGGAGGGAAAGGCGAGCGGAGGGGTACTGGGGTGAGGAGGGTGGGTTGCGCCACCCCAGCACCGGGACATGGACTTTTCCCAAAGTCCTTCTCAGACTGGTGCCATTTGACTCTCAAGCACCCACTAAGCGCATCCGACGAGTAGCTAATGCGGGGACCCAGCGGGTCCCCGAGAACCGAGAGAACGAGCGCAGAAAATCCGCGGTTGCAGACAACGCTCCCTGAGGTTCGAGAACCCACCCGGCCCAGAGACCATTTCTCTCCGATCTCAGACCCGCTCGTGGTGCCCTGGGTCTCGAACCTGGCCTTCACATCTTTCCGGCCTCAGTTTCCTCCCCGTCGGGAGAACCGAGCAGTCCCGTCGCAGGGGGAGCCTGAGCGTGCAGTGACACAGAATTTGGGGATTTCTTTTGAAAAGCTGACAAGCGTTCTTTTTCATGTCCTCGTTTTTCTACCCTCGCCCCTCTCGGTTCTCTTCACAGACAGTTTAAAGTTGGCTAATTCGGGTTCTGGCCCTGAATACATAAATCGCTTGTTCTCAGAACCTTTTGGTCATGTTCGGATGAAATCGTTCCTGCAGTAGGAGAAACTAGGATACGTGATGTGCTTCAAGGCAGAAGCACAGCCCCGCTCTCCTGGCCTCAGCCCGGCATGGGGAGTAGGACTGGGACCTGGGGCAGGGATGGCGCAGGATTGCACAGCGCGGCAGGGGCTAACCTCACTGTGGCCAAGGCCTTGGCGAGGGGGTGCCCCCAGGCCCACCTGCAGGTCGGAGGAGGTGACAAGTCCTTTCTGGATAATCTACCCGCCAGACTGCCAAATTGCCATGCAGGAGGAGCCTCGATTCCCTGTCCCCAACTCATGGGCCACCCCCTGCTCCCACTCTTAGGTGCTCCTGTGGCTGATAAAGAGCACCAGCCCCGCAGGACTGCTGGCAGTTGAGTGGCTTCTCAGACCCTGGCTGCCACCCAAGGCTCTCAGAAGGGATTTCTTTGCCAGATCACCCAGTATGGTGATCAGGTATACAAAATCAAGTACTGCTTTTCTGTTTTGGAAGAGAGATACTCAGTGCAGGGAACCCCACACACCAAACATTGTACAGTACAAAAAAAAAGCACTTATATTTGAAAGTTCCTCCGAAGGAAGGGCAAATGGTTGTGGTTTTCTTGGTTTGAACAGTTTCAGATTTCCCTTCTCTGTTAAAATGGGCTTAGGCTTCTGGTAAGGTCACTCTGTGAAGGACACCTATGTTTGGGGTGAGAAGAAGGGAAAGACAGTTTAGGTGAAAGCCTGACAAAAGCAGTGGGAACATGCTGAAGGCTGAAGTTGACCACTTAGCCAAGATTCTACTTCCTTCCCAGTTGTCTGAGTCTCTTCTAATGGCTAAGGGAAAAGAAGGAGGAAAAACCTAATGGAATTTTTCATCTTAAGCAGCTCAGGTGTTGCTTAATGAAGTGTCCAACAGGTTGAACAGGGTGCTACCTTATTTGAACTAGAGGACTAGGGCTCCAGTAAACAGTTAGCCACCTAAAAAAGATATCCCTAAACATGTAGCCAAAAAAAAATCACATTGCTTTTGCAAAAATTGCATACGTGAATAGTAAAATGCATCAGGTTCCAATATTCATAGCAGATGGTATGGAGACGAGTTTATCAGAGCGATCTTTCAACAAGTGCTATTTTCTATTGCCCTTTAAGCCATTTTAATTATGTGCAATTTTTATTTGTAACAAGAGGCATATTTTATCATTTTTCAGTAAGTCAATTGGGAAAGCCTGCTGCTAAAATACAAGTTTCAATTCAGATGATACCACATGCAGTTAGAATGTGCATTGAACATTACTTGTGTACATTTTAAATCAGACCTAAACTTCTGTATTGGTCATTTCCAATAAAATGATATTGGGTGCTTTTCTGCTTATTTTAGTTGATGCCTAACCTCTCCAGTGGAAATCCTTGCTCTCTGAATAGTGGGGCTGGATACCATGTTATAGGATACTGTGGTTACAAACATTAGCTATGTTTGATTACTGCTTGTTTGGCCAACCTATTCCATCAGTTCAAAAATTTAGGAAATGCATGGCAGTCCATGCATGTGACTAGCAGTCACACCCTAGGAAAGGCTTGGGAACCTGCTTAGCTGGGAATTGATTGTGCAAAGTAGTTAGCAAAAATGGCTCCTAAAAACACTATATGTGCATCTGTTGTATTTAATATCATTTCCATTACACTGAGTAGATTGAAACTTACCTTGAAGACTGTGTTTTGTCTTTTAAAACATTTCTGTGATATATCTGTCTCATATTTGTGACCAAATTTGTTTTCAGACATGATAGTATTTACCTTTAAAAAGCTTTGAGTGCTTATGTTGATAGTTCTGCAGTTTGCCCTGAGAGAATACAGACACACTCTTCATGAAGATAATTGATCATGCACAGTGTGTTCATTGAGGTTATCTAAGACCTAAGGGCATATGCCTTCATTCCTAGGACAAGGGACATTTATGGTTTGTAAATCATTGTACTAGCAAGAAACAGGTTGAGGACGCAGTTGTGTCTTCACAGGTCACAGTCTAGTGAAGAGGATGAAATGGGTGAGATTGCAATAGCAATAAAACAGCATGTGATAAGTGAAATTCAGGGGACAGAAGGGGGAAGGAAGGAGTGAGGAAAGCTGAAGGAAGCAGGGAGAAATTGGGGAGGAAGAGATTTTCAGAGTGGTCTTTGAAGGATGGGGAGGAAATCAAGGATCAGAGAAGAAATGATTCCAAGAGGTAGTGAGGAAGAGAGCTGTGAGTGGTTTAAAACTGAAGGAATCTTGCCAGAAAGAAAGCCCATATGTTTATGACCTTTCAGATAGTGCAGGAAACCCCACCAAACAGATGGGGCAATTAAACTTTTATTGTTTTGAGATAACTCTTGTTTGACCCTAACTGAGGTGGCAAGGCAGACTAGTAAAAGGGAGATAGGTGACAGGCCCTGAAAAGGCCTTTGGGGAGACCCCTCAAAGGAAATCCCCCAGGGTGGGGCTTAGGGATATGGGTAGATGGATGCCTCCGCCATCTTTCTTCCTTGCATACCGTGCCATCCTACAGGGGGAGACTTGGCCCTAGATTAATTCCTTGTTTGAGAACAGACAGAAAGGTGGGCTTGCAGTTCATTGTGTTGATAAATATTTCAGATGCCTCCCCTCTTACTTCCTTTTCATTACTCCCCCCAAATGGCAAATCTGTGATAGGAACACATTCTCTGTGTTGATAAGGAGCTATGAGCTTGCTTTTACAGTTATCTACCAGTAGTTCTTACACCAGGAAAATTAGAACAATAAAGATGTGTCTCTGAATGTCAATAAATCAGTGTTTTATGAGGCCATGGAAAGGGGAGTTCCAGACCTGGGCTCCTTTGCAGAGAGTGTTGTTTTAAGAAGGTATGGTGTGAAGTTTATCTGCCATGGCAGTATTTTAAAAATTCCCTTATTGTATTTTCTAATTTTAGGAGTGCATGGGAAAAAAAATAAGTCTTTTTCCCACCTGGTGTGTCTGATGGATGAGTTCTAGAAGTGTTGTCTGTGTCTTCTTTTTTTTTTTTTTTTTTTGATTGATGTGAATCTGTGTCCCGCCCCTAATGGCCCTCAGCTATCCAGGTGGCTCATGCCCTAGCCAGAGTTCCCTGCTGGCCAGAGAGAACTGGGGGGCCCCTCTACTGTCCTGCAGTGTCCTGGTCCTGGCCCCCAGAGACAGCACACAGATCCCTGGCTCCATCTCCATGTATCCCATGACTGGAAGGTCTCCTCCAGCACTATTCTGTTCTCTCTCTGGTTTGGGGGAATCCTTCTGTGTGTTTCCCTCCAGGAGCAATGTATGGGCTTTCTCTAGTATCCACCACTAAAAAGGAAATTCAGGTTCAGCTCATCCTTTCTGCCCCTAAGCACTGAGCTTGAAGGAACCAAAAAGGCGCAGTGGACTTCCGCCAACAGGCTTAGTCTTCTGAAGTTCTAAGTGAACCTTTGAGGTTGGAAGCCCTGTGGGCATTGAAGGGGGTTATGCACTGCACAGCCCGAGTCTTCTGTCCTGATTCTGAGAGACACCCTAAGTCTGTTTCCTGTCATTCCTCCCCGCCCCACCCCTGCAGCTCCCTTTCTGTCTCGGTCACTGGAGGTCTGGCTGTTGTCGCTTTTCCCACAGCAGCACGTTCCAATTGTGTGCTGCTCTCAGACAAGAACCCGAAGAAACTGCAGTCAGCAAGTGGAAGCACATTCTTTTTGGCTGTGTGATGACAACTTTATATCTGTATTTATTTTGCTGGCTGCTATGGATCTTCAGCCTTTGATTGCTGGGGGCTGCCACATGCAGGACAGGACAGTTGGTAATGAGCAACAAGACTGAATTTGTGTTAAATGCATTCGTTTGCTGCAACAAGTTCAACACTTACTACCTGTTCAACTTCTGCAATAGGCTAAGGAGACAGAGACCAAAGGCCACAGCCCCTGTCTTCAGGAGACTCAGAGTGTGCAGACGGTGAAAAGATAGCAGGACACTGTTCCTAGGACAAAGTGAGGTGGGCCCCAGAGCAAGGAGTGCCTTAGCCTAAAATGTTAGTGAAGACCTCCAGTTCCTCCTTTCTTCCTGATTAGGTGTGTTCAAACACTTCAGATACCCACAGACTGGCTTTTGGACCCAGGCAGGGATTCTAGGGTTGCCAGTGCTTTGGGTGGTGGCAGCAACAGCAGAAAGCCTCAGTGGAGGATTCTCAGGGACCTAACAGAAAGTATAGCATTCCTGGCCTCCAGGGTGTCAGGGGAGAGGAAGACAGAAGCCAGCACTCAAGGCTTTAGATGCAAACAAAATAGTTCAGATGTAATCTCGCATG